CTCACACAGCCTCCAATTAACCAGTCAGAAAGCTCTTCCCCAGCCTTCACCGACTACAGCACTTTAATAGAGAGAGTGGACAGCCATTGACTCATCAAGGGGAGACCTAGACTTCCCTCTTTACTTCTGTGGATGTAAGCCACTGCTTCTTCTGTGGTGTTAGCTAAAGTAGCATGGCTATTGCTTCACAATGTGTGTCTTAATGTGCTATGCATGCCCATGTTCTCTGGCTAAGAGAATGCCAGCCTTCCTTGGGGCTGTCTCTGAAGATTTCAGCCCTAAAGGTTTTTTTATTCAGGTCCAACTGTAGTATTTATGAGTCCAAAAGAAAGTTACAAGGCTCCATATGAGTTTCAGACAACTGAGGTCTTTAGTTTGTTCACCTTTTCTTTCTGAGTCTGATATCCAGATAGGTCCCTCAGAACCATGAAATACTACATTTGGCACACACTCATTGCTAACAACAGGGCAGTTGCACATATGAACATAAAAGTTATGACAGCATGTACTACATCATACCAGATAAAACCCACGCATGGAGCATGGAGGTGAGGAGCTATTGGCAACTGATGGCCATTGAGAGGAGAGTCTGTTTTCAGAAAGGATGCAGCCCCTGAGATTCTGCACCTATTCATATACACAGCATGAGTGAACTCCTGGGTTAAAAACAAAAAAGAACACATTAGGTTTCTAGAAAAGAAATAGTAAGGGGTGGTATAGCAGAGGGACTGGAGTGCAAGGAAAAGGAAGTTTGGATTTGATCAAAAAAATCATAGTATAAATGTGTAAAACTATCAAACAATTTTTTAAAAATATATCACCCAAGGGAAGCTTTGCTTACTCTTCCCAGATACCCAGAGCCTGGCATGTGAGTCTCTCTTTGGGTTCTGAGTCTTAGCTTTAAAAGTTGGCCACTTAATTTACTTTGAAAATCGCTTCACAGGCCTCCAAACTCACAGAAATGGAGCTTGGGCTAAGAGAGCATTATTACTTAATTCTTTTTAAAATTTATTTATTTATTAAAAATTTCCACTCCTCCCCTCCTTCCATTTTCCTCCCCTCCCCCCACCCTCTCCCTCACCAGTCCTAAGAGCAGTCAGGGTTCCCTGCCCTGTGGGAAGTCCAAGGTCCTCCCCCCTCCATCCAGATCTAGGAAGGTGAGCATCCAAACAGGCTAGGCTCCCAAAAAGCCAGTACATGCAGTAGAATCAAAACCCAGTGCCATTTTCCTTGGTTTCTCAGTCAACCCTCATTGTCAGCCACGTTTAGAGAGTCTGGTTTGATCACATGCTCGTTCAGTCCCAGTCCAGCTGGCCTTGGTGAGCTCCCATTAAATCAGTCCCACTGTCTCCATGGGTGGACACACCCCTCGTGGTCCTGACTTCCTTGCTCATGTTCTCCCTCCTTATGCTCTTCATCTGGGCCTTGGGAGCTCAGTCCAGTGCTTCAATGTGGGTCTCTGTCTCTGTCTCCATCCATCACCAGATGAAGGTTCTATGGTGATATGCAAGATATTCATCAGTGTTGCTATAGATAAGGCCAGTCCAGGCACCCTGTCCTCTGCTGCCTAAGGACCTAGCTGGGGACATCTCCTTAGATGCCTGGGAACCCCTCTAGAGCCAAGTCTCTTGCCAACCCTAAAATGGCTCCCTTAATTAAGATATCTTCTTCCTCGCTTCCACCCTTTCTCCATCTCAACCATCCCATTCCCCCAAGCTCTTCCCAATCCTCCCCTTCTCCCTTCTCTCTTCCCATCTCCCCTTTCCCCCATCCAACCCCCACCCCCGTGCTCCCAACTTTTGCCTGGCTGTCTTGGTGCCCCTCAATAGAAGAATGGATAAAGAAGGTGTGGCACATATACACTTTAGAGTTCTACTCAGTGGCAAAAAAACAATGACATCTTGTATTTTGCATGCAAATGGATGGAAATAGAAAACACTTTACTGAGTAAGATAACCCAGACCCAAAAAGATGAATATGGTATGTACTCACTCATAATTGGTTTCTAGCCATAAATAAAGGACATTGAGCCTATAATTCGTGATCCTAGAGAAGCTAAATAAGAAGGTGAACCCAAAGAAAAACATATATTTATCCTCCTGGATATTGGAAGTATTACTTAATTCTTAAAGCCCTAAACTTAGGTCTTATTTTAGAGCCCAATCAGATGCTAATGGCAGAGGACATGGCAAGTTATTGTAATCTAATTGTCAATACGCATTATCATGTTTCCTGGCGTGTGTGTGTGTGTGTGTGTGTGTGTAAGTCAGAGTTAAACATCAAGTGTCTTTCTTACTCTCCACACTATGATGATGATGATGTTGATGATGATGATGAGATGATAGGATCTCCCACTTGAAACTGGAGCTTATGGATTGATTAGCAAACCGGCAAGCTTTTGAGGCCCACTTGTCTCCACACCTGTGGCCCAGCACTGGGATTACAGGCCCACACTGACACATCCAGCATTTTAAGTAGGTGTTAGAGCTCTTAACTCAGCTCCTCACACTTGTGTGACACTTTTCCTACATTTCTCCTGAGCCCATTTCCTGGAATCTTTATGTTCGTCTGCCCATAGTCCTGTCAAACAGGTAGGGAGAAACTTCTGTCCTGCCTGAGCTGGCCTTGTTTTGTTTATATTTTGTGAGTCTAGATTGACTGACTAAAATATTACATTGGAATTTCTATGGAACTTATTGATGTCAAGGTCCTGAGTTTTATCAGAGAGAGAGAGAGAGGAAGGGAGGGGAGAGGAGGGAGAGAGAGAGAGAGAGAGAGAGAGAGAGAGAGAGAGAGAGGGAGGGGGGAGGGGAGGGAGAGAGAGAGAGAGAGAGAGAGAGAGAGAGAGAGAGAGAGAGAGAGAGAGAGAGAACTGTATTTTACCTGTTCAGATGTTAGGTTTTTCCAGGCAGGAACAACTTGCTGACATATTTTCATTTTCCCTCCCTTGTAGCAGAAAGACTCACAATGTCAATTTAGAACCTTGGGTATCTCCATTCTTGCGAGTGGTGCTTGGACACCTGATAGTTCAAAATGGCTTCTACTTTCCTGATAACTCTACATGCCATCTATTTCTAGAGTTGATTAGGAGCCTTTGTGCTTGTATGTGTTTATTTCCCTGGCTGTTTAGTTCTAGAGAAAGCCAGGAGTTCCTGCCAGAGGAAGGTTTGGAACAGTGATCCTTTTGTGTCTATGACTAGCCCTGAGTCCCCATGCACTGAAGGCATCGGCCAGACCTAATATAGAGCCCAAAGTTGCTCACTGTGGCTAACACCTACTGGCCAGGTCTGTCATATATTCCAAGCTTGACCTCACAGCCTGTGCTAGACTTAGAGTAGCAGGTCTCAACTTGTGGGTCACAATCCCTTTAGGAGTCAAACAACCCTTTCAAAGGACAGGGGTCGTTTAAGAGCATCGGAAAACACAGAAAATTACATTGCAATTTATAAAAGTAGCAAAATTACAGTTAGGAAGTAGCAATAATTTGGGGTCATTACAACATGATGAACTATGTTAAAGGGTCTCAGCATTAGGAAGGCTGAGAACCACTGCTTGAGAGAAACCACTGTATTCTGCTCTTTGAAAATCGTCCTATGACAGGGTCAGTGACTTAGGTTTGGTATGGTGCAGGGCACCAGTATAAGAGATGAACCACTGGAAGCTGAATGCATAGAAATCTGCCCCCTAGAATGTTGCCAGAGAAATGACTTCTCTTCCAATTATAGGTCCCAGTGGGCTGAGAGGGGGATTATTTTACATTAATTGGGTCTGCTCCATGAAGTTCTAAATATCATTCAACACAGAGAAAATTACCATTTCTCTTGTGATTCTTCCCATTCTCCTAGTGGTGTTCTCCAGACTGAGGCAGTGAGTTTCATTAAAATTGTAGAGAGTGGTAGAGTGTAACACTGGGGAAACACAGTCTACACTAATTTCAAAATCCCTGCATGCATGCACGCGGTTGCAAGTGTGTCTAGTATCTTGGTTAGAGATTCTATTGCTGCAACAAAACCCCATGGTCAAAAGCAACCTCAGATCTCCAGGTGACAGTCCGTCATGAAGGGAAGTCAGGGCAGGAACCCGGAGGCAGGAACTAAGCTGAAGCCATGGAGGAGCACCAGTGACTTGTTCTTGTGGCTTACTCAGTGCGTTTTCTTACATAATCCAGTACTACCCGTCCAGAGGTAGTACCGTCCCCGGTGATCTCTGCCACCCACATTAATCAAGAAAGTGAGCTACTCATTTGCCTACAGGCCACTCTTCTGGGCACACTCAGTCGAGCCCCTCTGTCCAGACAACTGTAGTTTGTGTCATGATATGATACCAACTAGCACACAGTTATACAATTTCCCCCTCTTCCTCACCACCCCCACCACCCCCACCACCCCCACACATGCAACTATGCCCTTCCATGTTATTTGGAGTCTAAGAAGAATCTTTCCTGTGTGAGTCAAGGCCTTTTACACCACTCCACTACAGTTCAGAGATAAAGCCTCAAGCAGCCATGCTGTGTTCATCCTGCTTCTTAACTGCTATCTGGATCAGGCTAAATGATCTTCTGAACAGAAGTGATGAACATAAATGAGTCTTTTTGGATCCCTAGAACATGCATACTGCCCCACAATAACATGTAAACCTTGTCATTGTTTCTTTTCCCTACTGCCAAGTCTAGCTTGACCTCTGAAGAGCAGCCAACCCAGGACTGGCAATGGTGTCACTTATTAAGAACTGCCTTTTGAGTGGTAACGGATGATCACTCTTTAAAACTACTCAGAACCTGATTTAATCTTAGTGGGCCCAGAACTCCATATTCTCTGTAAAGTCAAACACCATGGAAAGCGTATCTGGAAAAGGAAGGCACCCTGCGCATTAAGAGCTATTTTACACCAGTGCACGGACATCTTACCAACTTGGTAAAGAGGAAGGACATTTGCTTTTGCTGCATCCAATAGGTTGGGGTATGGACTGGTTGACAGATATTTTTGCCACTTCCCTTTTTCTGTTTAAGCAAGATCCCTTCTGAATCAGTGCTCTATCCTAGATCCAAAGTTCAGCTGCTCTGACACGAGCTGCACCTGTCACGAAGGGAACTGCTTGTCTCTAGCCTCATGCTGCTGTGGTCACTGCTTCTGGCTCTTGGTACGTAGGATGCTGAAAAAGACCTGGGGTGGTACAGGGTAGAACTACCTCCATTGGGCACCCCTAGATACTCTTCCTGAGTATATGTCTCTCTGGTGGGGTGTGGAGAGATGGGTTTCTGCTACTGATCCAATACTGGCAGGAATGTTGCAAATGGGAGCGGAGCAAAGCAGGGTTCTCAGAATAAGGAAAAGACTCGTGTGTGTGTGTGTGTGTGTGTGTGTGTGTGTGTGTGTGTGGTGTCCTTACTAAAGGCTGGCGTTTTGTCTCTATTATTTCTGTTTGGTCTCTATGAAAACAGTAAATTTTCATTGAAAGGGCTTCAAAGAAGTTTTCTGTTGGAGTGGATACCATGCACAGCCTACATAAATTTGACATCCTGAGGCCCAGACTCTACTTCAAGAGTAGACATTTTTAGCTGAACTTTTATCTCCATAGACTTAGATATTACATAGATTTTAAGCCTGATTAACCATAATGGATATCATAAAGCCCCCCTTCCACAGTAGTATGTCTACAATGCTGAAAAAAAGGAGAACTGATGCCAACGAAATATCAGCAGATCCTGTGTTTCTTTCGTGGCCCTTCCTGGTTTCTAGGATGCCCCTGTGTACATGATTTCTCTTAAGCAAAATAGTCTGGACAGTTTAATGATAGAGCCCCCAAACTGGCTATCCAATGCTTACTGACCAGCCCTGAGATTATGTAATACAGGTTGTATTATGTGTGTGTGTGTGCGTATAATTATATATATATATATAATATGTATCATATATGTGTATAAATGTGTATGTACATACATACATACTTACATACACAATTAGAAGTTATAAATTTGAAAAAAGCAGACATACACACACGACCATTAGAAACCATAAATTTGAAAAAGAGCAGAGAATATGTGGGAGGAGTTGGGGGAAGGAGAGGAAAAGGAGAAAAAGATGTAGTTATATTTTAATTTCAAAAAATAAAAATATTTAAATATTTGAAAGAAAGTGGAAGATGAGATATTAAATGAAGCTCTTGAAATACAAACTTCTGGGACTACTTACAATGTTCTAGGAATATAAAAATGAATCTTGGGTTCCATATGAGTATCATTTGTGAGTGGAAGGGAGGTATGAAATAAAGATGGGGAGAAATGATAGAGGAAATGAAGGAGGGGAGTTGAAAGGGGTAATGGAAGGAGGAAGAAACAGGAAGGAAAAGAGGAGGCAACACTTGAGAATCCTCAGAGGGCTATAGCATTTTTACAAAGTGTTAAGACCTTGACTCTTTCTCACTGACTCTGTTCCCTCACAGCTCCTGTCGGAGTCCATTCCGGTAAGCAACTCTTCTCTTAATTCCTCTAGCTTTCTGGGACTCTTGGGCATGGGTGGCCCTGCCTAGTGAAACCTCTTAGCAGAAAGCTGCAGGGGTCTGAGCCAGAACTGGGATGAAGAGAAGGACCCAGCACCTCACTCACCGCCCCATTGATCAGATGTGGTAGGGTGCACCGTGGCCCCACCATGTCCTGACCCCTTAAAACAATGAATTAGTTCCTGTTTGCTGCTGACCCCTCAGAAGGAAAGAGAGTAATTGTGAAGGGAAAGCCATCTGTGTAGTCACTGGGGAGAAAAGTCCCCATCCTCAACAGAAGCAATGACTGAAAAGATATTTATAACAGAGGGGCAGCAAAAGGCTCAGGAGGTGTTCTGTAGAGGACATGAACATCCTTAGGTCTCTACTGGGATGGAAACAACCCAATGTCTAATGTATTTTTCTGTTGTTATTGGAATTTTAATATAATGAAATTAAAAAAAAAACATTTAGTTTCACGGTAGCCTGGGAAATTAGACTTTCATCTTTGGTTAAGCCTTTGGAGAACACATTCATTCTATGATGTTCAGAGAAGAAGATGCTGTGTGCCTAGGTTTGTAATTTTAAACAAGAATGTTTTTAAATTACTTGGTGGGAGTGGGAGAAATCTCTTGAGCAATTTTGTCGGCTCCAGTGAACTCTCAGAATTAGGATAAAATATGCACATGTACACGGTTGCAGTCAATTGGAGGAAATACAGCTCTTAGGAAAGTCTCAGAAATCAAGACCACTAACCCAAGTGTCTTGCAATTAAATCCTTATTTCAGTCCCAGGGAAACCTGTTGTAACTTTTCTCTGTCACCTACCTACTCCTTGGATCATTCTCAATTTGGTCTCATGAATTTTACATCTCACATATTTCTTTAATTAAACTGATTTTATTTCTAAAATATTCACCTGAAACTATTGTCTGGCCTCACCATGTAGGAAAAAGAATATTGGTCTGTCACACCTGTTTGTCAACCTTTGTGCCCAACCATCTACTTCTGTTTCCATTATCTTTCAAAGCCAGCGAAAGTTACACAGAAGTTATCATTGCGTTTGGTTAGTCACTTTGCCCTATTGAAACCATCTAAATGAGCATTTCCAACATGTCATATAGATATAGAGATGTGAACAAGGAAAAATGCATATGTAAGCAGAACATTTTGAAGGATGAGAAGGTGGAATGAGGATTTAGTTCAGTCAAGAGTACTGGCCTGGAGAGAATGGGCAAGATCCTGAGTTTGAGCCCCAGAATCTCTCTGAAAGAGGGGGGGCAAGAAGGAAGGAAGGAAGGAAGGAAGGAAGGAAGGAAGGAAGGAAGGAAGGAGGGAGGGAGGGAGGGAGGGAGGGAGGGAGGGAAGGAAGGAAGGAAAACTATTAATTAAGATTATTATCTTTATGATTTATGTTTTAGGAATATGTACTTTCTTGTGACATATGCTTTAAGAAGTTCTCAGCATTTTTCATATACATCCTTATCGGTGTCACTCTAGGGATTAAAACCCTTAGCTATTTCCAAATGACTCTGGCCCCTGGGAGACAGAAGGACAAGCTGGGCAGGCACCTAAACATCACTTTTGTACTTATCTTCTCCCTACACTTTGTTTCCTAGTGATGGATAGTGTCTAGTGAAGAGGGGCCAATGTTCAGAGCAGGGCTTATTCTTTTGTGTTTTCTCCTCCGTTTAGGCGCAAATCCAAAATACCGAGCTAGTCATCAATACCGATAGTGGCTGTCCTATAGGGGAAGTAACAGCTCAGCTTCTTCTTTATGGGGCTCCTACAGGACCAATATGACAATGATTTGCAGATGCCTCTGAGTTTTTAGTAGACTCCAGAGACTTGGGGACGGAGATTTCAGAGCCCCATTAGTTTCATCTTGGGAGAATGACATGTAAGGGAAGGACTTTGAGTTTCTGTAGTACCAAACAGGGTTTCTAAAGTATGAAACAAGCAGAGGGAGTTAACCATGCTTGCCATGGACCCTTAAGCCATGTCACTAGGCATAAGGAGATACAATTGGAATCTTCTAGTCAGGGGGTGAGGAGAAAGAATGCTGAGGCTTGCACCCAGGGTCTTGTACATGTTAGGTGAGGAATTCCACCACTAAGTTGTCTATACACAGCCCTGTTTATTGTTTATTGTGAAGTCTAAAGTCTTACTAAATCACACAAGCTCACCCTAAACTTAATCTGTAGCTTTGAAACTGTGACTTACCCACCTCAACTTCATTAATAGCATTAATTCCAGACCTGTGCTATCTTACTTAGCTAGTAGACTCATTTTAAATCCATATTTAGTACAGCTGTTGGGAGCTGAAGAAAACAACATAAAATCTATTAACAGACATCCAAATGCTTGTTTGGGGAAAAGTGTCACTTAGTGAAACAGAGCTCACTCTGCTGAGCCAGAAAGTTAGTAGAGCCAGCAGGTCCCCAGATGCTGCAGGTCCCCAGCTTCTAGATATATGTAGAGCCTCTCCCTTCCCAGAGGCATCCAGACAGGGTCAGCGTTAATAACTCTGCCTTCTTGTTTTCTTTGTAGACTGGTTGAGCATCAGCCTGCCACACCATGCGTATGAAGGAGACCATGTGACTATAAGCTGCACGGGGGAAAAGAACCATGATATAAGGAGACTAAAGTACTTCAAGGATGGATCTCACATAACTACTTACAGAAGTGCTTCGAGCTACACCATTTCAAATGCAAGATTCAGTGACAGTGGCTCCTATTTCTGTAAGGCAGATAGGAAACTTTTCCTATTCATAGACGTAACAGAAGAAACAAGACATGTATGGCTTGATATCCGAGGTAGGGGATCATTGCTTGAAAGGATATGTCTAGGAAGGAGAATGCCTGTTGTAGGAAAGCCAGGGTAAAAGGCATATGACAGCTACCCAGGGATGGATAAATGGGGGTGGGCTGCCTGTCCTGGGGTATGAATATGTGTGTCGTACTCATTGGGCACTTCTAGAGGACTGTGCAGTCGGCTAATAACAAGTGGTCTCTTTGGGTTTTTCCCTCCAGAGCTGTTTCCAGCACCAGGGCTGACAGTCAGCTCCCTGTAGCCCATAGAGGGGAGGTCAATGACCCTGTCCTGCAACACCTGGCTCCCTTCAGATAGGGCAACGACCCAGTTACGCTATTCCTTCTTCAAAGATGGCCAAGCTCTGCAGTCGGGTGGGAGTTCACCAACATTTACGATCTCAGAAATATGGAAAGAAGACTCAGGAAATTACTGGTGTGAGGCAATGACAGCCTCTCACAGTGTCTCGAAGCAGAGTCGCAGATCCTATATAGATGTGGAGAGTGAGTATCATTGAGTTGGGCCGATGGGGCTAAGTCAGGCAGGGAGAGCAGGTCCCCATCAGAGTGCAGGCTCTTCCTTATCCCTGAGTTGAAAGCTGCTGTGACTCACTGGGGCCCTTGAACACTAATTTTCCAATGACTTTCCCCTCCCCTTCAGAAAAGTAACAATGGTAATTTTACTCAGAAAACCAAGAAGTCAATGAAGTAGAACCTCTTTCTATGAGGAGAGACCCCTAGTTAACAGGTGGTGCAAAGAAGGCACGAATAACGACATTTGAAACGACAATAACAGCCTGCTACTTATAAAAGGAATTGCTATATTTCAGATCCGAGCTAAAGCTGCTGTGATGTTTTAGCTCTCTCGGATTTTCACAATCAGAAAACAGGAGACAGAAAGATTTACCATGTGCATGATGCTGTGAACGCTTTGTCCTCACAGTGGCCTGGAAAACAGTTTTATGAGTAGCGCCTGTAAAATGGCACTGTGACTCCCCCCCACTTTACAGACGGAGACTTACCTGGTCAACATGGCCCTGGGATTTAAATGTGGTTGCTCCAGCCCCAGGACACATACTTTTAAGTACTTTGCAGCACTTCCTCTCAAGCGTCACTAGTTGGCACTGCTGAGCAGTACTGGGGAGAGAGACTGCCTGATGGCTACTCCTCAGCTAATCTCGTGAGAACTCTGTGAGGTTACTAGGATTATCCAAACGCTAGTGAGAAAAGCTGAGGATCAGAAATCTAGATTTAGATTCTGCAGCTACTAAAGGGCAAAACTTAATTGTTTCTCAGGTTGAGAACTTCCTCCTTTATGCCATTCCAGTCTCTCTCCTACTGCCTCAAGTCACAGGGAAGTTAAAAGAAAGCAGAACATTGTGGTATTCCGACACGAGAGCAGACAGGGAAAAGGACAGGAAGTGCGGGATAGGATTGTTATTAAGCATCAGAGTAGCCCTGTGAAATGCTCCTCAGTATGCTCCATTCCCGGCAAGCAGGGTGGACTCTCAATTCCATATATAGACCTGCTGTAATTCCCAGCAGGTCTACTGGACCCCTCCCATCCTGAATTTCCCCACCAAGTCCTTAACAATTGTCTTCTGATCATAGGGATCCCTGTGTCTCAAGTCTCCATGGAGATCCAGTCTCCAAGGGGCTGCGGAGTTGAAGGGCAGACACTGGTCCTTGTTTGCTCTGTGGCTAAAGGGACCGGGCTCATAATATACTCCTGGCACAGAGAGGACACAGAGGAAAGCGTGGGGAGGAAAAGCCAGCGTTCCCAGAGAATCGAGCTGGAGATCACTACTGTCAGGGAAAGTGACGCAGGGGGTTACTACTGCACTGCTGACAACAGCTACGGCCTCGTCCAGAGTGCTGTAGTGAACATCACAGTAAAAGGTAAGCAGCCTTCCCATTAAGGACCTGGTAACTTTCAGCTGAGGATGTTCGAAGATGTGACAAGGTACAAGGAAGGCATGAAGAGGCTGGGAAGCCTGCGGAACACAGCGCGCGCGGGGTGTGGGGGGGTTGATGGTGGAGGTAAAACATGGCAACAGTGACAAAGGAACTGAGAGAGGGCATGGAGACGGAACACGAGGCAGATTGTGTGGTATAGTTAGAGGCTTGCCCTCCAGAATTGTCATCAATGCATAGCTGCTCTGCTGGATCCTCCCCTGGAGGATTAGACCGAGCAGTGAGATGTTGGGAAAGAACTTGAATGAAGACAAGTTAGGCTGTGAGTCATACCACCCTCTGACGCTCTACTGTGCTGCCAGTTCCAGTGTGGCACCCTCTCCTCTCCATCAGTGTTCCTGGGGTGCTGCCCTTCATTGGGGATGTGGTGGAGCTTCAGTGTGAAGACAAGAGAGCATCTCCTCCCGTTCTGTACCGGTTTTATCATGAAAATATCACTCTGGGCAACATCTCAACACCTTCTGGAGGAAAAGCATCCTTTAAGCTCACTCTGACTGCGGGACATTCTGGGAACTACTCCTGTGAGGCTGACAATGGCTGGGGGACAAAGCGCAGTGAGGTGGTACTACTCAGTGTCACAGGTAGGACAATGTAATGTCTCATTCCAAGGTGCAATTTGCAGTATGCCAAGCCAAGACTTTCTTCCTTTTCCTTGTACTCTCCCACTCTCCAGGGCATCGGAGCTCCACTGAGGGACCGTCTTTACCCCCAGTTTTGCTTTCCAGTTTTAACAAACAGCGTCTCTGGTCGCTGCCTGTCTTTCCTGTCTGCTCTTCTTGAATCACATGTGTGTAAAATTGGGGGTCGGACCAGAGTAAGGGGCAGGCTAGGTGAAGCATGGTGAGAGAAAACAAATGTCCACAGAAAAAGAGAATGTTCCTGTACCCTCGAGCTCAGTGGGTCTTTCTCTGAGGACCCTCTGACTGCGTATCTCCCTCCAGCCCTGTAGTTAAGAACAAAAATAAAAAGCCCACAAAAAAGGACTCCCAGATTTATTTATTTATTTATTTATTTCTTCCTTTCTTTTTTTTACTAAGATTGCATCACTTAATTTTAGTAGCAACATAATTATTACACAAATAAAGAAATAAAATTTAAGTTAAGCAGCTTGTCCAAGGTTACTTAATAGGAGTGCCATGAGCAGATACAAAGATGACACTAAAGGTTGGTTAAGACATTGCCACTGTGCAAATAGGTCTGGATGGTTGTGTGATCTTTCTTCTTCTTCTTTAATTCATTGTTGGAGAGAATTTTTACTCACAAGTTTCCTAATGTGGAACATTACTGAGTTTCCCTTAGAAACCCTTCTTAGTTATCATAGGCAGTAGCTTTATATGATTTGCTAATATTTTATTTCAAGTGTTTGCACCTGCGTGTTAGTGCTAGCTATCAAACTCAGGACTTCAAGCATGCTAAGCTTTGTCCCCTTGTATCCTATTAATACATTGGGTTTTTTTTTTTTTGTTGTTGTTGTTGTTCTTAGTTAGGGATGCATTAGCTTTGTAAGAATGGTTTCAGGGAGGTTCCACAAATTCTGTGTTGAGAAACTTATAACAACATTTAAATTATCTACTACTTGAAGTCTTTGCAACTAGCCAAGGATTCTGAGTCCAGTAGACTATTGCTTCTACTGTCAATTTTTTTCATTAATTAGCTTTTTCATTTTTTTTTGCTTAAATGTTGCCTTTTATTTAAAATGTTCAGTTGCAGCATTTTTTAATTAAATTTTTAAAATTTATTTATTAAAAATTTCCACCTCCTCCCCTCCTCCCATTTCCTTCCCACTCCCCCTTCCTCTTCCCCTCCCTCTCCAGTCCTAAGAGCAGTCAGGGTTTCCTGCCCTGTGGGAAGTCCAAGCTCCTCTCTCCTAGATCCAGGTCTAGGAAGGTGAGCATCCAAACAGACTAGGCTCCCACAAGGACAGTCCATGCAGTAGAATCAAAACCCAGTACCATTGTCCTTGGCTTTTCAGTCAGCCCTCATTGTCAGCCACGTTCAGAGAGTCCAGTTTGATCACATGCTCCATCAGTCCCAGTCCAGCTGGCCTTAGTGAGCTCTCATTAGATTAGTCCCATTGTCTCAGTGGGTGGACACACCCCTCGCGGTCCTGACTTTCTTGCTCATGTTCTCCGTCCTTCTGCTCCTCATTTGGACCTTGGGAGCTCAGTGCTCCAATGTGGGTCTCTGTCTCTATCTCCATCCATGGCCAGATGAAGGTTCTATGGTAATAGGCAAGATATTCATCAGTGTGGCTATAGGATTAGGTTAGTACAGGCACCCTCTCCTCTGCTGCCTACAGAACTAGTTAGGGATATCGCCTTGGCCATTTGGGAACCCCTCTAGAGCCAAAACTCTTGCCAACCCTAAAATGACTCCCTTGGTTAGGATACCTTCTTCCCTGCTCCCATATCCACCCTTCCTCCATGTCAATTACCCCATTCCCCCAAGCTCTCCCCAATCCTCCCCTCTCCCTTCTCCCCATCTCCCCTTCCCCCCAGTCCACCCCAACCCCCTGCTCCTAACTTTTGCCCGATGATCTTGTCAACTTCCAATACCCAGGAGGATAAATATATGTTTTTCTTTGGGTTCACCTTCTTATTTAGCTGCTCTAGGGTCACGAACTATAGGCTCAATGTCCTTTATTTATGGCTAGAATCTTCTTATGAGTGAGTACATACCATAATCCTCTTTTTTGGGTCTGGATTACCTCACTCAGGATAGTGTTTTCTATTTCCATCCATTTGTATGCAAAGTTCAAGATATCATTGTTTTTTTACCATTGAGTAAAACTCTAAAGTGTATATGTGCCACATCTTCTTTATCCATTCTTCTATTGAGGGGCACCTAGGTTGTTTCCAGGTTCTGGCTATTACAAATAATGCTGCTATGAACATAGTTGAACAAATGCTTTTTAGTATGATTGGGCATCTCTTGGGTATATCATTGCTGGATCTTGAGGTAGGTTGACTCCCAGTTTCCTGAGAAACCTCCACACTGATTTCCAAAGTGCTTGCACAAGTTTGCATTCCCACCAACAATGGATGAAAGTTCCCCTTACTCCACAACCTCTCCAGCATAGGCTATCATTGGTGTTTTGGGTTTTAGCCATTCTGACCGGTGGAAGATGTTATCTCAAAGTTGTTTTGATTTGCATTTCCATGATCGCTAAGGAGGTTGAGCATGACCCTAAGTGTCTTTTGGCCATTTGGACTTCTTCTGTTGAGAATTCTCTGTTCAGTTCAGTATCCCATTTTTTAAATTGGGTTAATTAGAGTTTTAATGTCTAATTTCTTGAGTTCTTTATATATTTTGGAGATCAGACCTTTGTCTGTTGCAGGGTTGGTGAAGATCTTCTCCCATTCAGTAGGTTGCCTTTTTGTCTTAGTGACAGTGTTATAACTTTAAAACAAACACTGTTTTATTACAGGGATATTATTGTCGGGTTAGGAGATGACTGAGTGGGTAGGATCCCTTGTAGCATATATATGAGGACCTGTGTTTGGGTCCTCACTACTCACCTGGGCATAGCTGTTTCAGGGAACTAGCAGAAAAATTGCCAAGGCAGAGTTCCTGTGGAAGACCCTGTCTCCAGAGAAAAAGTAGGAAAAAGAATGTGGAAGAGACTCAGTGTCTTTCTCTCGCTTCCTTATGCACACATACACTGTATACACACATTCAGCTCCCCATAAAACAGTTTATGTGTTTTGTCCCCCAAAGATGAGCAAAATATAGGAAAGCCTGTATTTTCAAATTTATCATAGACTCTTGAGCACTATGTCTGGTTTTAGTTTCTACTGTGTGACCATGTTCTCTCTTCATTTTCAATATGCCTGTATAGTCCCCTTTTCTCACGAGATTTACCAGTGGTCTTTCTATGGTATGGTTCTTTATTAAAAGTTCAGATTTCTTTTATATCTTTTACTTTTCAAGTCAATATCATTTTATTATTTCAAAGTATATTTCTAATTCATTTGCTTCTTTTTCATCTTAGAAACAAATGTACTTAAAACTAAGTGCAACTTTTATCTCATTAAAAAAATTGGCATATGATGTCTTCATTTGCTTATTGTCTACATATGTGTAACTTGGTTTCTTAATTATTTTGTAAAAAGAACTTAAAATTTCTTATAAATGAATGTATATCAATCCTTTATTTAGATATTCCTTTGTTCTTATATTTAGCATTTATTAAAATCCTATGTTCTTATATTTAGTTTTTATTAAAATGTAGCCTGCAGAAATTTTACTTCAGAGAAATTACTGAAACTTGGTTGATGGGCTTACATGTTGTCAGTTAATGCATATTTTCTCTGTGAAACAAAAAAATGTCATTTTTGTGTTTTGGGAGTATATTAAGGGTTTTTTCTTTGATTTCAATTACTTTCTTCATTAGTCTTATACTTCAGTCTCTTTAGTCTTATAGGCATTTGGACTCATCTATCAAATTTTTTTTATTTTTTTTAATTTATTTATTTATTAAAGATTTCTGTCTCTTCCCCCGC